TGGGGACAGTGGTATCACAGATGACCCTGCCGGGTCCCCGTCAGCTAGGAACTCCCTGAGCAGGGACCGCCTCCCTTCTTCATTTCGGGGGTGTTCTCCTAGGACGGGTGTCCTGTCTCCTTTCTTCTCTTCCCCCTGCTCCCAGGGTGACTTTATAAAACATGAATGGAAGTATGACACGCACACAGAAACGTGTGCAGAACGTGAGTACACCGCTCGCTGACTTCAACGGACCTCGTAAGGGGAGCCCCGGTCAAGAAACAGAACATTGTCTGTGCCTCCCCAGGTCCCTTTTCCTCTTTAGCCCCGCCTCCAGCCCTGATCCATTAAGAGAGAGACTCGGACTCAGCTTCGAGGTCCTGGGGGCCTGCCCCTGCTAGAACTTTCACAATCACAGGCCTTATTAGATGGTTGCCGCAAGCCTGGGGGCTGATATTATCCCCATTCCCAGTCAGGGAAGCTCGGCTCGGAAAGGGTAAGTGTACTGCTGGGGTCAGGGGGTCAACAAGTGGTGGACACTGGTCTTCTCAAGGGAATTGCATGTCACCCGTGACCGTCCCATTCTTTAATTTGTGCAAAGAGGGGTGAGGAAGAGTTCGCGGTAGGGTCTGTATATCATCAGAAATACAGGTGTGTGGACATCTCTGAGATTTGCCTGGAAGCATCCCTGGCTGCTTCTGGGGACTTCTGTCTGCACCCTTCATAATGCTTCCCAAGGGAGCCTCCAGGTTCTCTCAGGGCCCTGCTGAGGGCTGCAGTTGGCTGGTCTGGGAGTGGGTCAGGGATTCAAGGAATTCATCTGGGAATGCTGGTTTCCTTCTTTCTCTGGAAGTGTGCAAGTCAGCTGGCTGTGGTCAGTAATGAGGAGAAAGCCGGTATGCAGTGGGAGAGGGGGCGGGGGACAGAAGCAAAGCAGGAATGAGAAGAAGCTGGAAGGGCTTAGTGGGGTTTGCATGCCGGCTTCCAGTTGACCCAGAGATCCTACCCCATTCTTCCACTTCCTGCAGCCGGGTGGCAGTGTGACATGGCCCCCACCATCCCACACCACCCCACTCCAACTTTCCACGTAAGCCAGTCAGGCGAGCTGTGTCCAGGGAGCGAGAGTATCTTAATCCATAGAACAGAAAGGAAAATATTCAGTCCGTCTATTTCTCCCTGTCTACACACAGAGCTCAGTTTCCAGCTGTTTGAGATACAGATGGATGAAACGGCCTCCAGTGCAGAATAGGGATAAGATAACCCAACTTGTGGGATGGCTGTGAGGGTTGCCTGATGGAACAAATACGAAATACCAGGCCCCACACACTTTCTCATGATACAATGGATACCAGCCCTCTATCTGATAAGATGTTTGCAAATATCTTCTCCCATTCTGTAGGCTGCCTTTTGGTTTTGTTGATTGTTTCCTTTGCTGTGCAAAAGCTTTTGGGTGTCCTTGGTAGGAAGTGGCCATGGATGACATCTAAGGTGTCTTCAGACTGCACACCTCCTGATCTGGAAGGAGGCACTGAAGGATGGGCAGAATTTGGACGCGTTAGATGGGAGAGAAGTGGGCTTTCCACCAACAAGTGGCTGAGTCTTGGGGGTCAGGCCAGAGAGAGACGAGGGCTTGGAACATCTGAGAACACTGAGGAGCCTGACTGTTTATCAGAAGATCAGGTTGGGTAGGTGGGGTTGCTGACCCCCCAGGTCCTGGCCGCCAAGAAGGGAGCCCTGGCTGGAAGCCGTAGGGCAGGGATGCTCAGAAGGGATGTGGGGCCACTGGGCTTTGGGGAAGACTAGCCTGAGAGCTGTCAGACTCCCAGGGACCACCAGATAAAGAAAGAGTTGCTGGAGGCCCTGTGCTGAGGAGTCTGGTGGGCTTAGAAGACTTAGGGGATCCAATGGATTCTGCTCTATTCATAGGATTTGTCAACCTTGCAAGAACCCTATGCCTTTCTTTGGCCTGCCCTTCTGAATCTGCGGACCCCCTGCTCCATGGAGTGCAGTCCCTCACTCCTTGCCTTCCATCCCAGAGTCCAGTGTGTCCCTGGGGAGCTGCAGGGAGGAATGAGAGCTGCTTTGGCTTTGAGACACCATCAGGCAGGTCCATCCCATTTTGTGCCAGTCCTGGGAAGACCTCTAGTGCCCTCTCTCCCTCCCCCATCACAGGGCTAGGGGAGGCTCTGGTGCTCTGGCTGGGCAGTGCCTGGTGGCAGCCAGAGGCAAATCTCCCCCAATGGCTGGATTATATCCGTGTTTGCAGGCCTGGCTGTGGCCTTCTGCCTGGACTTGAGGGCCTGACCAGGGTTTGGAGCCCTGCGTGTGCGGTACAAGGTGGCAGAGATGGGGAGAGCTTGGGAACTTTTTCCACTCACCCCAAACTGGGGAGCTCTCCTGTGCTAGGCTGGTGGGCACTGGGCCAGCTCCTGGTCATCTCAGCCAATGAGAAACTTGTAGCTGGGAAGCAAGTTGGGCCAGGAAGAGAGAGAGAGAGAGAGAGAGGCAAAAGGTGGACCAGACTTACGGGCGGGACAGTGGCACATGGCGGTTTGGAGGACAGTAACGGGGGAAGGAGCACTACAGACAGGGGCAGAGCCTCCGTGGGGCTAGAGAAGAGAGACAAGGAGGAAGAGAGGCAAGGTCTGGCCTGTCCCCTCCTCCCCCGCCCCAGGCCTCTTGTTGTTGCTGAGCTGTTGCAGAGGCCTGTGTGATTTACATCGCGGGTGTGTCCCGAGCACCTGCTGAGCTATGATGACAGACTGTCCAATTTGAACTCCGTTGGACTGGGTAGCCTCCAAAGCTGCTGCAAATAGCTCTGACCTCAGCCATCGGCACGCCAGCCCCACCACTGGCCTCAGGGCTAAGGCTCCAGCCGTCATCACCACCACCAGCAGCGTCTCACTACCCCCATGGAATTACCAGCATCTTAGGTACTGGCCCCATCATTCCCGGCCACCCGATCAGCCTCCCACAAGGTTTGGGGGAGCTGGGAACCAGGACTTGAGTCAGACCTCCGAGGGCATCACCTATGCACCAGTGATTCTCAACAATTTGGGCCCCTAAGGGGACATTGGGCAATGCCTGGAAACGTTGTTGGTTCACAACATTTGGACTGCTGGTGGCACCCCTGGGTAGAGGCCAGAGATGGTGCTAAACATCTCAACAGCACGGAGCAGCCCCCGGACAAGGAATCATACGTTCCCAGATGGCAACAGTACGGAGGCTGAGAAACCCATCTCTGGAGGCCCTGTGATCTTCTGTGGACCTGACTCTGGCCCTCATCCCGAACTGTCACATCATGCTTCCGTTCCTGGACAAGAAGAAATCCTCACCAGTGCATCTTAATGGAAACCCCTATTATTCACACTTCTCGGCCCCCACAGCTTGCATTCAAAAGTGCAGAAGATGAAAAGTCCTCTGTGGCCACCATCGAGAAGGAAGACACACAGGGGCGCCTGGGTGGCTCAGTCAGTGAAGCGGCTGCCGTCAGCCCAAGTCATGATCCTGGAATCGAGCCCTGCGTCAGGCCCCCTGCTCCATGCGGAGCCTGTTTCCCCTTCACTCTGCCCCTCTTCCCCCGTGTGCTCTCTTTCTGTCTCAAATAAATAAATTGGAAAAAATAAAAAAAAAGAAGGAAAACACCCAGAAACAACTGATAGGCGGAGCACAGGTGCACCTGGGATTGAAGTCAGGCTTTCGCCTGGGGCCGGGAGGCAGGGACTGGGCTAGAACCCGGGGGTATAAAGGCAGAAGGAGAGCTCAGGCCTCCACTTGGTGCAATAGCCCAGCCTGGAGCAGCCCTTCCTCTGTGGCCAGTTGGGAACCGGCATCATGGAGTGGATGGTGGTGGCCTTGGTCAGCTTCCAGCTCTTGGAGGCGGCAGTTGTCAAGTGAGTCTGGGGCCTGGCTGCCGTAGCAGGAGTTCGGGCAGGAGTCGGGAGCCCTGTGAGGGGTAACCTGGCCAGGGGCCGCCCCACCAGGCTCCACTCCGGAGTTTCTGCTGGGACAGGGAGGGCTTCCTGAGCAGGTGTAAGCCGGGGACTCATAGGTCGGACGAGCTACAGCTTTGCCCTCATGAAATGTCTGTAACTGAACCAAAGGAGAGTTTGTCTACCAGAAGCCCTGTAAGGCAATAAGAAACGTGACCCCGAGCTTTTGCCATGAAGCAAGATCGGTGTGGTGCTGCCCGGGAGCGTGGGGAGCTAATGCTCAAAAGTCCCGAATGCGCTGATGGTTTGCAAGTGAGGGTTTTTAAGGGGAAATAATCAGAGACAAGGGGCTTGAGGTTGTGGATTCTTCTGAAAGGTCAGGGATTGGGTCAACCTCACGACTGAATGACTTGTCTTTCTGGCACTGGTCTGGTTTCTTTCTTTCTTTTTCTTTTTTATTTGTAAAGATTTTATCTATTTGTTAGAGGGAGATAGAGAGAGTGAGAGAGAGCACAAGCTGGGGGAGAAGCAGGCAGAGGGAGAAGGAGGCTCCCTGCCAAGCAAGGAGCCCTATGTGGGACTCGATCTCAGGACCCCGGGATCACGACCTGAGCTGAAGGCAGACGCTTAACCAGCTGAGCCACCCAGGTGCCCCTGGTTTGTCTGGTTTCATCAGCTGTGACTGGGTGGCCCTCTCCTTCCCTGCTCGGAATCCGCTAAACACCCCAGCAATGTGTGTCAGTGATGCTGTCTTTGTTAGCAAAAGCTGGGGCCACACACTTTGTGATTGTGCAGGCTAATTCATTTCTTACTCTCTTGGGCTTCCTTTTCATTATCTTAAGCAAAGCATCCTGGTGTGTTCCCCATAATCCTTCACTACAGGCTACATGCCTTGCTGAAGACTTAATCTGCTGGTGGGCGCACTTCCAGGCAAAGGAAAAAGCGCAGCTGCTTCCCCATCTGATGAGAAAAGATGGACCTGGGACAGAGTCGGGGTGATTGCTGTCCAAACAGACACTGAACGGCAGGTGTGCTTTCTTCCGCAGAAAGGAACGATGATTTCTGGATAGATAGACGTTTGCTAAAAACTCCCTTAAGGCCCATGATTTATTTAGCAGATGGCACAGGCATGTAAGCAGAGACAGCAGGAACGTAACGTGCACTCGCAGAGATGTCAGGAGAAAGGGAGCGAGGAGGCGTGGCTCCCAGGACCTGGGAGGGCGCCTGGCCTGCACACGGCTGCCCGTCTCACCCATGAAGACCGATGCCTCTGCTGAAGACAAGGCTCCTCGAAGAAACCTGTGTGTGATACGCAAGTTCTGGGGAAGCGGCGAGCCCGAACAACCATCAGTCTTCAAAGCTCAACGTGAATGGGTTCCGTGCAGAATGGGGAGCGAATGCGGGGTCTTGAGGGAATGGGGAATCAGGTGGGGAAAGAAATGCAAGGAGCAGGACTTCTGGAGTCCGGAATGAGCCTGGGTGGACCCACAGAGACCCCTGAGGCGATGGCAGCAAGCAGGTCTTGGAGGAGGAGAACCCGAGGGAGACGGGGGCAGAAGTGCAGACTTCATCAGTTCCAATTCCAGGGCGGGTCTGGGCTCCAGAACACCCAGGCCAACTTCCACTGCGCCTGCGTCGGGAGAAGAGCAGTGACCGGCCCCAGGCCAGACAATTCGAGGCAAGGGCAGACACAGGATCCTTTCTTCTGAGTCCCAGTCTAGTGCTGTCTCCCATACCCATACTGTGTCTCAGTCATCCAGGACCAGGTGCCCGAGGGCCACCACCAGAGGGGACTGGGGTGAACTCTGCTATCTCTGAAATCTTTCTTAAAATGCATATCTCCTGGGCCACCTGGCTGGATGACTCGGTAGAGCACGTGACCGTTGATCTTGGGGTGCTGAGTTCAAGCCCTACACTGGATGTAGAGCTTACATAAAGACAATGCATATATCCTGCCAGGGCTAATGGCCAAAGTCCTCCTTCTCTTCCAGGGAAGGAATTTATGGGATATCTGAGAGCAAAGGGCCAGGAGAGGATGTGGACCCTCGAGATGGGATGTGGGCATGTATTGGGGAAGGTTTTTGTTTTCTGAATCGTGGATCAAGTCCTGCGAAGAGCTTTGAAGAGAGGGAGAGGGAAAGAGAGAGGCAGAGGGAGAAAGAAACAAAGGAAGAGACCTAGGGAAAGAGACATGGAGACAGAGAGAAAGGGAGGGAGCTGAGACCAGAGCAGGAGCGAGAGGGAGACACACACAGAGACACAGTGATAGGCACAGGAGACACGGGGGCTGGGGCCTGAGGGATGCAGTTGGAGGTGGCGCGGCAGGGAGGGATGGAGGAACCAGGACTGTCAGAGGTGCTGTAGGAAGGAGGGAGGGTCCTGCCCTGACGCCAGGCCTCCTTCAGAGTCCCCCTGAGGAAATTAGAGCCTATCTGTGCAACCATGAAGGAGAAGGGCTTACTGGGGGAGTTCCTGAGGACCCACAAGAATGACCCTGCCCAGAAGTACCACGTTGGCGACCTCGGCATGGTCTACGAACCCCTGGCCTATCTAGATGTAAGTCCTGACCCTCCGTGGGGGTTCCCTCTCCTTGGGGCCAAAGACTGAGGCTGGACTCCCGGGGGTGTGCCGTGCTATCTCTCTGTACCCTCCCACCTGGCGCCTGCGTCCTGCTCCCTTCTCTCACACCTGTCAGCCCCCACTGAGGGTCTGTGTGTTCTGGGCAAGTACGGAAGATAGGCTTGGGCCTCTTCCTCTGTGGCAGGTTGTAGAGCAAAGGCTCTGTCCAAGCAGGAGGCTGGGCCTGAGGGTCTCTGTATCCCTCCAGAGCTAACAGCCTGCCCCATGGCCCCCCAGAGTCTGTACCTTGGAGAAATCGCCATCGGGACCCCACCGCAGAACTTTCTGGTCCTTTTTGATACCGGATCCTCCAGCCTGTGGGTGCCCTCGGTCCAGTGCCAGAGCCAGGCCTGTGGTAAGTGCAGGGCTCGCTAGGGAGAGTGGTTGGCAAGGGAGGGTGCGGACCGCCTTGGGGGAAGGGGCAAGCGTGGCAGGGATGGTGGGGCCTGGGGGCTTCAATCCTGAGAGTCAGGGACTTGGCCAGGGTCAAGGGGCATGTGCAAGACCAAAGGAAGAGGCTGGCCCTAGGCCTGGGTGGTCTGTTTGTCTTCCCTCTCACCAACACATGCTCCTTCACCTGCTCCAGTCTGCCCTCTGCCCTCCGGCTCCATCCATGCCACTCTGCTCTGCTCCATTCTGTTCCCTGCAGACGACACCATTCCATCTCACCAAAGTCGACAACAGTCTTTCCATGTCACTCCACTCCGCTGCTTACTAAGTTCTCAGCGCGTGTCTCCTAGACGCAGGGGAGAACAATGCAAGAGCTGGTCCCTGTCTTGTAGCCGTATTTGTAGAAAGGCCAAGTTCCTCTCCTTAATGCTGCCTTGGTCCCTGCCAGAGCCTGGGGGTTTGGGTCCTGACACTTCTAATCCAAAGGGTCCCTCACTGGCCACGTCCAGGTTTTTGACAGTGTGAGGGTGGAGGGAACGCAGGGATTCCCTGGAAGTTCATTTGTTCCCACAGCTGATGAGTGATTTCTCAGGAGGGGATCTGCAAGGAGGGGGCAGGGAAACAGAGAAGGATTCTAGGCCACCTACCTACCAAGGGTCACGGTCAAAGAACAACGCAAGATTCTGCAAGTCAGAGGGGGCTTTGAGGCCAAGCCTGGCCACCCTCACATGGGCCTTCCTGTGCTCCCTGAACCCTGAGACCATGTGTCCTGGGATGCTGGGGTCCCAGGATGGGAGCACAGGCTGGGACTCGGGGGGCAGCCCTCTGCCTGCTGGCCTGTCTCCCCAAACTCTCCTTCCGCTGTAGCCACTCACTCCCGCTTCAACCCCAATGCGTCCTCAACTTACTCCGGCCACGGGCAGACCTTCTCCGTGCAGTATGGCAGCGGCAGCCTCCGTGGCGTCTACGGCTATGACACTCTGAGGGTGAGCCGGGCTGCAGGCCACTCTGTGCCCCAGGATGTGGGAGTTGTCCCCGGGACTCTGACTTGGCCTGGAAGCTCTCAGACCTGAGTCTGATGGGAGTTTAGCCCGAGAACCTGAGAATACAGAGAAAACCTAGTGCTCTACTGAGTACAAACCAGCCGATGAGTACACCAAGTGCCCCTCCATGCCGTCCCCTTCCCACACTGAGCGCCCCCGATGAAGGGGATGACCTAGTCCTTTAGTGAAGGAGCTTAAACTGGGGGAGGGGGGTCAGGGAGAGGAAGATGGTGGAGGGGGGCTGCAGCAGCAGCCAGAGAAGGCCACTTGAGAGAAAACTTGGCTCTTGCAAGATGTGTCAAGAAGGCAAGGGGCAGGTGGTGGGTTTATGGACATTGGGGAGGGTATGTGCTACGGTGAGTGCTGTGAAGTGTGTAAACCTGGTGATTCACAGACCTGTACCCCTGGGGCTAATAATACATTACATATTTATAAAAAAAAGAAGGCAAGGGGCAGGGGTGAGGGAGGGATGAACAAGGGAGCCTCGAGGGTCTTTTGGGGGAGGGTATGGGGAGATGAGTGGAGTTCCACTTGTCATCTCCCATCCCCTGTGTCCCTTCCAGGTCCAGAGCGCTCAGGTCCCCAACCAGCAGTTTGGCCTTAGTGAGCACGAGCCAAGTCCCTATTTCCTCCAGCTTAAGTTTGATGGCATCATGGGCCTGGCCTACCCAGCCCTGGCAGAGGGTAGGAGCGCCACGGCTCTGCAGGGCCTGCTGCAGGCTGGCCTCCTCTCCAGCCCGGTCTTCAGCTTCTACCTGGGCAGGTAAGATACTGCTTGGAGGGGTTCCTGAGCTCCCAGGCAACTCCCCCCATCCTCCCCAGACCCCAGACAAGTGAGCTCAATGCTTTGGGGGTCGGGGGCTTCCCGTCAGGCATTTGGCTTCAGCTCCTACTGTGTCTAGGACTTTCCTCCTGGGCTGTCCTCTCCTGTCCAATTGTCCCCCTGTCCACATCCTTTCCCTCATCTCTGTGTCTGTCCCCAGCCCACTCAGACTTTGCATTTCGTCACCAGTTCAGAATCTTTCCCTCTTCTGGGTGAACTTAGCTTTGAGTAGGCTGCTCATTCTGGATACCTCTTGGATTTACCTCCTGCCCAGAGCTGCAGTTAGCTCACTGCCTTCTGGACACTTCTTTTGTGTACAATCTATTGCTTCATCTCCTTTGATGTATTGTTCTCTCCAGGTCCTGGAGTCTTCTGGTCAAGGTTCATCATTTGCCCCTAATAGGGTGTTTTTCTCACCAAAAACACAAGCCATGCAGCCGCTTAGTGTGGGTGCCCGGGAGCCAGGTGGTGGGGGTGGAGTGAGTGGCCTGTGGGGGACTTTCTTTCCTCTCCAGAGTTAGCCAGCCACCTTCTGGAGATAGTCAGCATCTACTCTCTCACCTTAATCTCCTGAGTCTGACTATCAACAGTGTTACCCTGCTCCTAATGCTGCTGACTTAGTCTCACCTCTGATTACAATTCATTCTGAGTTTCTCCCTTAGGAGCTCTGCCCAATTCCACACTCAGGGTCGGCTCCCAGGGGAGGCTGAAAGGAGCAGGGAATATCCTTCTCTCCTCTTTGCCAAGGCCCTACCTCCTTCCAGTCCCAGAAGAAAAATGATAAGTGGGGCTCAGGGTGAGACTCCCAGTGACATACGACACTAGTAGCAAGAACTGGAAGAGAGAGAAGAAGGGTGTGTGGGATGGGGCGGGGGCCACACAACCAGCAGCTTCCCCAGAGGCCCTGCTTCTGGAACCAGAGGCATTGGGAATTCTGAGGGGCTCAGCCTGGAGCTGCAGTGATAAAGGGGGATACAACTCCTTCCCTAAGCAGACCTAGTGTGAGGGGGAGACACAGTGTTGTCCTTGGGGGCCCAGTCTGAGGGAGGAGACACAGCCCTGCCCCCAGGGAGCCCCAGTCTGAGGGGGAGACACAGCCCTGACTCAGGGAGCCCTAGTGTGAGGGAGGGAGACACAGTCCTGCTCAGGGAGCCCCAGTCTGACGAAGGGAGGCACAGCCTTGCCCTCAGGGACCCCAGTCTGAGGGGAGACATAGACCTGCCCTCAGGGACCCTAGTCTGAGGGGAGACACAGCCATGCTCTTAGGGACCCCCAGCCTGCAGCCAGGGCAGGACCTCTATTTCCCTTTGAGGATGAATGTTCAACAGGAAATCTTTTCTATAGCGATTTCCCTGATTCACACTTCCCTTTCCCTTCTGCAGAGGTATGAGCTCTCAGAATGGAGCAGTTCTCATATTTGGAGGGATAGACCACAGCCTGCACAGTGGACCGATCTACTGGGCCCCCGTCACCCAGGAGTGCTACTGGCAGATTGGCATTGAGGAGTGAGTCTGTGCTGGAGCTTGAGGACCTGGCAGGCTTCGGGCATTTCATGTTATGCACCCACAGACACACACACTCTCTCTCTCTCTCACTCACACACACACACACAGGTAGGTACTGCTAAGAGGTACACATAGGAGACCCCTGAAGGCTTCCCCCACAAAGCCACAGCTATCCTCTGCTGGAGACTGAAGGCCCAGCTCAGCCTGGAAAAGTGGGTGAGGTGGGCACAATATAAATGGGGTAGGTCTGGAATCTCAAACATTCTAAACCCTGTGGTTCAACACTATGTGCTTACTAATTGGAAACTATGATGTATTGGGGGGGGGATTAATGTGGTCATAGTACTTAAACCGTTCAGGGACACTGGCTTCCAGTGTTTCTAGAACCTTCCTTGGAACTTTAAATAACAACGTTCTGTGGCCATTTAGGTGGCCTTGAATAGACTCTGAATGGTGTGAGGCAGGGGGATGGTTGGAAGGACCTCTGCAGAGTCCTTACCTCCAGGTATACCACGATTCTGTGGCTGTGGCTGTTTGTCCCTTGGGGGTGGGGGAAAGCCCACTTCCTAGATGCCCTGAGCTGGAGGTGCTGAAGGCGTTCATCTCCTCACCATTCAGGTTCCTCATTGGTGGCCATGCCACGGGCTGGTGCTCCCAGGGCTGCCAGGCCATTGTGGACACAGGCACATCTCCGCTCACTGTACCCCAGCAGTACCTGAGCGCCCTTCTGCAGGCTACAGGGGCCCAGGCCAACCAGTACGGACAGGTGTGTCTAGTGGAGGCATCCTCCTTCTTTCGGAGAGGCCCCCTGGGAGGCATTTATGATTCTTTTGGGAATAGCCCCACTCTTGGCCTCCATGCTCCTAGCTGTCCCAAAGCCCTGGAGGTGGGTGGGGGGGCGGCCTGGGAGGACTGGGGCTGGGGGCTGGGTCTTGAGCTGGGAGGGTAATGGGTGGCTACTATTGGGGCAGAATTTCCTTGGAGCTTCAGCCCTTCCAAAGTAATGGGTTAAACACTTTCCAGGCTTTGGAGTAAGATCAAACTAACTGGACTGTGGGGCCAGGCAGGGCCCCAGCGGGATCCAGGGCACTGAGGGGTGGGGGTTGGCAGGTCCTCTTAGGTGGGCGATGTGGCACCTGGGGCCTTGCTCCTCTCTGCAGTTTACTGTGGACTGTAACAACATCCAGAACCTGCCCACCTTGACCTTCCTCATCAGTGGTGTGCATTTCTCCCTGCCCTACCACTCCTACATCTTCACAGTGAGTCTGTAGGGACGCGACGGCTGTGAGGAGGGGCCGGGGGCCCGAGATACCGGGTCTCCTCACCACGTGCCATCCTCCAGCTCTTCGTGAGCCCCGCTTAATTTTCTGCCTTCACTGGTTCCAAACCCCTACGCTGGCACGAGGCCACGAAACAGAAGTGCCATCTGTTATTGATTACTATTACTAATGAGTGTGGAGAGGCGCTGGGGTATGGGTTGTGTACTCACTAGGTTAAGCCCTATGGGAAGCATTTTGCCTACACCATCCCACTGAACTGTCAGACCATTTGAGGAAGAGGGTGCTAATTTCTATTTTACAAGTGAAAACTTGGAGGTCCAGAGAGGTTAAGAAACAGACGCAAGGCTACCCAACTAGTCGGGGTGAAACTCAGGTTGGCAGCTGAGCTGGTCTGGCTTCAGGGCTTCGCCAGCAGGCTGACCTCCTCCAGATGGGGAGCAAAAGGGAGGCGGGTGGGAACTTGGGGAGAGGAGACTGCAGACGGTCACCACAGCCTGCTTCCACCCCTTGCAGAAATCCCTCCTACTCTGGGGCTCAGCTGGCCTGTGAGCCCCCAAAGGTCACAAGCCTGGCTCCCTCATTTATGCATTTCGCACTCCTGGCCTGGGGCTTAGGGCTGAGCAGGGCCCGGTCCATGGGTGAGCCAAGGAACGAGCGCTGCCCTTCCGTGTTGTGCAGGGAAATGGCGTTTGCACCATTGGGGTCCAGGCCACCTACCTGCCCTCCAGCAGTGGCCAGTCCCTGTGGATCCTCGGGGGCGTCTTCCTCAGGTCCTACTATTCCATCTTCGACATTGGCAACAACAGGGTGGGCTTTGCTGCTGCTGCCTAGACTCAGCGCCTAGACGCCTGGCTTCCTTCTTCCTCTCCACCCCCGGCCCTGCAGGCGCTACTTCTCTGGAATCAGCCTTCTTTCTCTGGCTTCGGGGCTTTCTGTCCTAATAAATAGTTCTTCTGCATGTTGGTCAGCATGTTGTTTTTTGAGGGCCGATGTGGCCTGTAAGGCAGCTCCTGGTCACAGGAATGGGAGGGAAGACGGATTCAGGGGAAGATGTGCTTCTACTGGACCTGTTCTCCCTCAGGGGCTAAGAGTTTTGTGGGGGTGGGGAGGGGTGTCACTGAGGTTCTAAGAGAGATGGGGCATAAGGTAGGGCTTGGGGAGGGGCCCCGGACCCCTCAGAGCTTGGAGTCTCTCCACAACTTCTCTCTACTCATGGTAATGACATTGAGGCAGGCATTCCTTTGTGACGCGCCAAGGGGCCCTATTACCACAACCCAAAATGCTCTCCTGACCTAATGGACCAAAGGACCGGCAGAACCACCCCAGACAAGCCCACTAGCACTGTGACGAGGGCTCCCATCCTCCCACCACCCAGGCCTTCATCTCCTCACCTGTGATCAAGCTTGCACTGGGAGCTTCTGAGAAATGCTAGATGCCCACGTACACGTGTGACAGTCATGGCTCCTTCCGGAAGGGGGGTGATGCTCCCAGAACCTATTTCCAGAAGGGCTTCAAAAGGTCTGGGCTGAGTGAAACTGATCACATTTTCACCTAGAATCCTCTGCCCCCGGGGGGAGGAAGCTAGGACTGATGAGGCTTGAGGAGGGGTATTACTGGAAAAACATAATGGGAGGGTTGTAGGCTCCTTGTACACATTTCTTTCATCCCATCCTTCACTAGGCTGACCCCAACCTTGCTCCTTATGTGCAGTGGCAGGGGTGAAAGACAAGATCTAAGTCCAGCACTCCATTCCAAAACACGAAGGAAACTGAGGTTTGCCACGTAGTACTTTCTATAGCAACAGCCCACCATCTGGGACCCTACTACATTTTTCCTAGACTCTGGATAAGACAGCATGCTGCACGCCTCTCCTTGGGGTCAGAGAAACCACGGGGTGTATCATAGTGAGCTGTAGTTCGTGACATCTCTGAGTAAGAAGCAAAAAACAAACAAACAAACAAAAAAAAACAACCTTGCAGAAGAGGCAGAAACGAAGTGGAACTTAAGTTCCAAGTCAAAAAGCCATGGCCACGTACACAAGCCAGGGCCCACAGAGTGGGACTACAAATCCCGGCGTTCCTGGCGGAGCCGATGGGAGGGACTACATTTCCCCGCGGGCGCCGCGGTAGGCCCGCGAGGGGCGGGGCGGGGCGGGGCGGACCGCGGGGCGTGTGCTGCCCTCTGCCGGGCTCGGCGGGAAGTGGGTGCGGATTGACAGGGGGAGCCCCGGCGCCCGGCGCGGGGCTTGGTGACAGCAGAGGCGGCGGCCGCGGGCTGGACCTAGGGAGCGGCGGCGGTGGCGCCGACGGCAGCTGGAAGGGCGGACGGGGCGGGCCTCCCTGGTGGCGCGGAGCCGGAGGAGTCCGGGAGGGGGCGGCAGGCGCAGCTCGCGGGCCGGACACCTGAACTTGGGACAAGTTGCCAGAGCCGCGGGGCACAGGCGGCGGACGGATTGACCTTCAGAGCTAGGTGAGCGGGACCGGGGTGCACAGAGGGCCCGGAACCCCGGACCCGGGCTTCCCCGCCCCCATTGTGGGTGCGGGAGACAGGTGGGTGGATGGGGGTGCCGGCTGAAGAGGGGACAGGGAGTGTGTGTGCCGCGCCAACACCAGCTCTGCGGTCCGTCTAGTCCGGGACTCTCCGCACATGGCCGGAGCGAAGCTTTCTACGGAGCCCGGGAGCCCCTCCGGCCCCTCACTGCAGGCCCGGGCTGGGGGCGGCTTCTCCGCGACCTTATGTAACCAGGCGGGAGGGGCCGGGGCGGGCATGGGCCTTCCCGACTCGGGAGCTGGGAGTCGAAGGGGCGGGAGGCGTGGGAGTGAACTTGCAACAAGTTTGAGGGACGTGTGGGCCTTGCGCCTACTCCTTCTCCACCGGAGGCGGCTGGGGCGGGTGGTACGGGGGAGGGCGCCGGAGGCCCGGGAGGTGTGCGGGGGCCGAGTTCGCCCCGGCCAGGCCCAACCTGGATGGTCCCGGGGAGTGGGAGGGCCGGGACGGCGCCACGCCCCCGGGGCTGGGCTGCTGGAGCGGGGCGGGTGGAAGTACCATCCCTCCCTCCCTTCCCGTCTCTTCCTCCCCCTCGGTGTCTTAAGAAGCGGCTAGTCCCCTAGTATCCTGAGCTCAGTCTTCTTCTCCCCTTTGCATTAACTCCGCGACCTCTGGGAACCCCAACCCCAGAGCTCACGCTTCGCGCGCTCCTCTTTCTGCTCCCCGGAGCTCCCAGCCATCTGCCCCAAGTACCCCCACCTTCTTGGTCCAGAATCCCGGAAAACACGCCCCCTTCCCCTTATTCCAGGAGTTCGTACCGCCCAACCCCTTGACGTCCCTCCCTCGAAATCCTCGCGGGGTCTCCTCCCCACCTCCCCAAACCCGGGTGGGCCACAGGGGCATAGCGCGTGCACTTCCCTCCTCGAAGAGAGCGGGTTGATGCCAGCTTTGTCCCCGCCCCTCGGCCCCTTCCCGGCCCGGGGTTCTGGCTTCACGCACCGCTGCCTGGAGCTGCTCCGGTTTGCGCGAGCAGGTTCGCGCCGCAGCAGCCTGGCGCGCCCCAACCCCGCGCCCGCGGGGAAGGAGGGAGGGCTCCCGGGGCGGGGCTCCTCTGCACGCGCGCCCGCAGTGTCCCCAGCTTCCCCTCCCCGTTCCCTGGCGGCCGCTCACTGCGGAGTCCTTCCCACCCCAGTCCACTCCAGCCGGGATTCTCTCGCCTGTCTGTTCCGGGGACGGTTCGGCTCTGTTTCTGGTCTGGACTTGAGCGCAGTTGCCTCCTTTGGCATTACGCCCGCAGGAAGTGTCCGTGAATTAAAACCGCGCAGCCCCCACCCTGAGTGAGGGAGGCTTAGTCCAGCTGAGAAAGGGCAGGGCCCGTGCAGGCCCTTAGTGATACTTCTCAGATGTGGGCTCAGACCCCTGCACCCGCCCAGTCCAAGATTCCACTGGCCCAGGACCTGGCAATTGGTGGGGGAGGAAGGTGGCTCTGGTTTCCTCTTGGGCGGCCAGATGGGGTTGGCTCTGATCGGAATGTAGTTCCTGGCTCTTTAGCCTGTTGGCTCGGAGGCCCTCTGTGTGCCCAGCCTGGTGGAGAGCCTCCAGGCCTTGCCCTCAGGCGGATAACAGTCTAGGGGAGAGATGCCAGCAATAAAGGCTGGTCTTAGACGCGGCCAAAGGGGAGAGCCCTGCGTGGTTAGTTTGCTGGTATGCTAGTACCATGCCTCAGTTTCCCCAGCTGTAGGAAAATGAGCAATTCACTTGGCCCTCTTCTTTCTGTCTGCCCCCCACCCCCTAGACGCTAGTTCCCCCAGGAACTAGAAAGCATAAATGAGAGGCTGTTTGTGTGACTCTGTGCTCTGTCTGCTTTTCTGGAAGGGAGCTGATACTGCTTACAACTCAGCTCTAGTAGGTGCGGACCAATGGGAATCCTGTTTCGGTCCCGGGGAGATGGTGCAGGGCATGGGGCAGGGGACCCTTCCCCCGCTCGAGTGAGCACCAAATCCATGGAGAACCAGATGGGCTGCTGAGGGCTGAGAATTGGGTGACTCACAGTCAGAGGTGGGCAGGGGGTGGGCCAGGGCCTGGGACGATGGGCCCACCTAGGGCCCACCCCCATGGCCAGTCAGCCCCCTTTGAGCCTCAAGGCTGGAAAGTAGGTAGGAGGGGCCTCCCACCCTTCAGGGCTGGCTGTCCTTTGGGGGTCTGGCTTCTGGCCCTCATCCCTCTTGGGGCTTTGTTTATGGCTGTAATTGTATCATTAGCTGGGGTTTTATAGAGTTACTTAGCACCTGCCCCCACAGGGAGTGGCCCAACCACCCCCTGGCTTCTGTCTCTTCCTTTTCAAAGTCAACTTGGTTTCTGCCCATAGCAGGGGTTTCCCCAACCGCAGCAGGCATGATATCCAGGTTAGGCCTTTGTCCTAGGGATGGAGGGCCGTCAGCACTTGGGGCCCAGCTTGGGGCTGCCCTGGACGTGACCGTGGAAATTGGGTTGACCTCCTCTGATGCTGAGGGAGGGAGGTCAGGATTTCCAGAACTGCCACAAGTGTCAACCCCCCACGATGCTGCAGGTGGACCCGTAGGTAACGTGTCTATTGTCCTCTGAAAAAAGAGGGAGGAAAAGGTACACTCCTTCCAGGCTGCTGTGAGGGTTCAGGGTAGAGCAGTGTCTGGTACGTGGTGAGTCTGTAGTGTTGCTCTATGTTTCACTGTGGGGTGCGGGGCGTGTGTAGTTGAGAGGAGTGTGTGTGTGTGTGTGTGTGTGGTGATGAGATGATGGGTATCTAGGTACCTGTGTACAGATGAATCGTCCGTGTGTGTGTCTGTGGGGGTATAACCACATGACATGTTGGTGGAATATTCATCTAGTCTCTTTATGCTATAATAGAACAACATTCTAAGAAAATTCAGTTATAAATAATAGTTGCATTTATTGTCTTTACTTTTTTTTTCCTTAAAGATTTTATTTACTTATTTGTCAGAGAGAGAGAGAGAGAGAGAGAGAGTGCGCACGCACAAGCAGGGGGAGCAGCAGCCTCCTTGCCAAACAAGGAGCCCAATGTGGGACTTGATTCCAGGACCTTGCGATCATGACCTGAGCCAAAGGCAGATGCCCAACCGACTGAGCCACCCAGGTGTCCTGTGTATTTACTCTGTAGAGTGAGGTAGGAGTGATTATTTTCGTTATCCAGATTCAGAGAAGTTAAGCAAGTTGCCTGAAGTCACACAGCATGGAAGAGGTAGGGACTCTAACAGAGGTTCAGCTTCCTCCAGAATCCATGTTCTCAATCTCTCAAGCAGACCACTTCGGGTTTCTCAGGAGTTCTCTCTTAAAAGGTGGGCAGGTGGGGGTCTGGGAACCTTCTTTGCCCCATGCAGGGTCTCCTGCTCTGAGCAGGGGTGTAAACTGGCTGAGGCCTCTGCCCCAGGGCCACACCTGTCTCCTGGCTGTTCTTCTGAACTCTGCTGACACAGGTGACCAAAGGACCTCTGGTGAGGACTCTCCTGACTGGCCCCGGGGAGGAGAGGAGTTCAGACAAGGCTCCCCGGGTCTCCTTGGAAACCTCACACATTAACTTGTGTGCAACCCTCGCTAGGCACTTGTTTACTAGATGTGGGGAAAGGCTGCGGCAGCTACTGAGTGAGAATGAGCAGCCACCAGTCACGAGAACACAGGAGTCCCTTCCCGGCCAGCCGGTATGGGCGTGCAGGTCCCACTGCTCTCAGCCTCCGTCTCCATGGCTGGGAACCTATCACCTAGCCTGGGGTGGGGGGTGCGGTTTCCCCTCTAATGTGAACCTTCTATGGCTCTCTGGCAAAGGCACCAGACAGGAGAGGCTCCCCAGAGGGTCCCCGGGGGAGGGGGACACTGCTGAAGTCCACTCTCTAGAGCATGAGCTCAAGGCTGGCCTGGGTGGTACGACCAGCCAGTTTCTCTTGGGACATAATCAGAGCCAGCACGTACTGAGCCCTGAGCTAAGTGCCACGTCGCCAGGATATTGTTGAGAATAGGAGCTCCAGGGCCAGGCTGCTTGGCTTGGAATCCCACCTCTGACATATCCTAGCTGTGTGACCCTGGGCCAGCTGCTTAACCCCGCTGTGCCTCCATTTGCATGCCTGGAAAGCAAGTGTTAATGCTAGCACCTGCTTACTAGTGCTACAGGGAGGACTGAGTATTGTTTTTTAAGATTTTATTCATTTATTTTAGAGAGAAATAGAGAGAACTCCAGCAGGGGAAGGGGTAGAGGGAGAGGGAGAGAGAGAATTCCCAAGCAGACTCTGTGGTGAGTATGGAGCCCAGCTCAGGGCTCAATCCTAGGACCATGAGCCAAAATCAAGAGTCAGACGCTTAACTGACTGAGTCCCCCAGGCACCCCATCTGGGCTGAGTATTTTTTTTTTTTAAGATTTTATTTATTTATTTGACAGACAGAGATTACAAGTAGGCAGAGAGGGAGGCAGAGAGAGAGGAGGAAGCAGGCTCCCTGCTGAGCAGAGAGCCCCATGCGGGGCTCGATCCCAGGACCCTGGGATCACGACCTGAGCCGAAGGCAGAGGCTTTAACCCACTGAGCCACCCAGGCGCCCCTGGGCTGAGTATTTTGACATGTGCTGCAGGTATGAGACTTAGAATAGCTCAAATGAGACCTAGAATAGCATCGTGCTCAGAGATGTTATTAATCGTAACAGACTCTTACAACTCCTTTATTTCTCTATTTCTCATTCCCAAGTGAGGAAATAGAGGTACAGAAAGCTCTAGTGAAGGAAAAAAGACCTGTGGGTTGCAAACTGGACTCCCCTGCACATCTGACACCCTTGAAAGCAATGCCTTACATGGGGCTTTGTAGCTTTGGTCGCCCCAGCCCCCCTTCATTCCCTGGTGACCACAGCCAGCCCGATCCCTACGGTTAACAAAATCGAATGGACTACAGTGCTTGAGGCATCTCTCCGACCCCCTGCCCTGCCCCGCCCCTGGGGATTCCCTGGGTAGCATCTGGCCTAGACACTCACTACCCACTCCTGACCCATGGCTCGCCCCCCAGTGGATGCCTCAGAGGGGCAGGGGCATGAGGCAGAGCCATTGCTGGTTTTCTTTCCCGGCTCCTAGGTGTGGGCATGCGGAGGAGGAGAGAGGAGGTCTAATACCCCCACCATGTGATGCCGTGGGGATTAATCCAAAATTCCAGCAGGTTTTCCAGAAACCCATGGTCCATATTTCCTTCTCCCAGTCCCTTGTTCATGCTGGTCCCTTCTCCTTCCCACCCCCCTGCGCTCCTCCCTCTAACCAAATCCTCTCTGTCCATCAGGGTACACCTTCCAGGGAGACCAGGAGATGGATCCATGGGTCCATGACTGTAGCTTTGGCTGGATATTATGATCGCCTGGGGAGCTCTTAAAAATACTGGAACATGCCTGGCTGGTTCACTTGGTAGAGCATACCACGCTTGATCTCTGGGTCATGAGTTCAAGCCCTACACTGGGTGGAGAGCTTACTTAACCAAAAAAAAAAAAAAAAAAAAAAAAAAAATTACTAGTACATCTGAATCTTGAAGGAGGAGCCCATATTAAAAATTCCCCAAATGATTCTGATGCCCTTTTTCCAGGGCAACGACTCTCAAATTGGAGTGGGAATCAGAATCATCTGGAATAGTTGTTAAAACGCAGATTGCTAGGCCTTACCCCCAGGGTTCCTGACTGAGTAGGTCCAGAATCAGTAGGCCTAGAAATTCCAGTAGGTCCTGGAATTTGTATTTTGGATGAGTTCTCAGGTGATGCGAATGCTGCTGGTCCCCAGACCATGGTTTGAGAACTCACTGCTTTGCAGTTTCCCAGACAGAACCTTTCTGTCTCCTGGGTCTCTGGTTGCTTTGGGCCTCTGAGGCCTGTCTTCTTTCTGAAGCCAGGTCCCAGGGGGTGGAGACCACTGTGACACCACTTGGTGACTGCTAATCCCTGGTATAATCCTATACTCAGCTGCCTTCCCCACCTTGGCTCTCTGCCTGCACCTCCTGTTAAACTGACCAGCCTTGTGGTCTCGGCATCACCCTCTGGGACAGGTGCTCAGGAAATATTTGTTGCTTGATCAAGGTGAGATGAGGTAGACACCAAAGGACCGCACTGTCCCCAGGAGGCATCAGAACATGGAGTGGGGTCTAAAAGCTCCTGTGAAAGTGCTTGAGGACAGAGTGCCATTGCTGGGTTAGTGGGGAGCTGTCCAAAGTGGTCCTTGGCTCTGCTGAAGTGAGGCCAGAGAAAGACCCACCATGTGACTTGACTTTCCTACCCCGTGGTAGGCAACTATGGCATCACTGTTGAATTGTGTTTCTTAACTACTAATAAAAATGATTAAACACACACAGAAGGCAGCTGAGACCTTCTCCTTCCTGACCCAGACTGGAGATGTTGGCCGGGGTGGGGGGCTTGTCACTGATAGATGGAGGAGTGTCTCCATCATCTTCTAGGAGGTCCTGGGCCTTGAGGGCAGCAGATAGC